TCAGATTAATAGAAGTTCTAAGAGATTATTTAACATAGTTATTCACAATCTGAATAATCAGTTATATATAACTCATGTATCTCTTACATTATTCTGATATGTAAGCGTTCAAATTGAGAGACTTCGTATTATTTACAGAATCAACTTTATTAAGAAACTCTATAATTACAGGAGATTTCAATACACATCATCCCTGATGAAATTCAGAATGCAAGACGACAGTAAGAGCTGATAATCTGATTGAATGAATCTTTGAGCATTCAATAGATTTGGTTAATAAGTCTGATCAACAAACATTCTTTAGAAAAGACATGAAACAGAAATCTATTATAGATCTAAACTTCATATCATAAAATATAATAAAAAAAAGACTTGTAAACTGATTTATTGATTCAAATGAGACATCAGAATCAGATCATGAAATTATTCAATTTAATATTGAACTGAGTGAAAAATAAATAAGTGAAAACCCTCTTCTCTCTAATCAGTTTAACTTTGAAAAAGCTGATTGAAAAGCAGTTGAAGAAAGTATAAAACTGTTAAAATCTGAAAGACAGAGTGAGCTATATTGAAATTCTGGTCAAGATATCTCAAATGAAATGCTTGAGAATAGAGTGAAGCTCATTACATCTATTATTCTAACAAGTGTTAGAGATAATATTTCAAAGAGAAAATCTTCTGAGTATTCAAAACCTTGATGAAATGAGAATATCTCATCTAAAAGAAAAGAATTAGCTAATGCTAGAAGAGATTGAAAGAATGATGTAATATCTGATGAAAAGTTCAAAGCTGTCAGAAATGAATATTTTTCAGATATTAAAAGAGCTAAAACAGACTGCTGAAATAAATTTCTTGAAGAAGTATAAGAAAAGGAAGTTTTTAAAGCTTTTAACTATACTAAAACAAGAAGTGTAACAAAACTTCCAGCCTTAGAATATAAGTTTCAGAATGAATCATATACAGCAAACTCTTTTGAGGAAAAATGTCAAGCTTTCATAAGAATTCTCTTTCAGAACTCACCAGATTCAGATTCAGATTCAGAGGAAGAGAATATATCACTTCTCAACTACATTGATAAAAACAACTGAGAATGGCCTGATCTTACACAAGATGAATTAGAGTCAGCTATCTTCTCAAGTTCTGTTAAAACTGCTGCAGAGCCTGATTCAATTAATCACTTGATTATTCAAAATACATATTCCTACTTAAAGAATGAATATTTTGAGCTCTTTTTTAATCTCTTGAAAAATGATATCATTCTGAATGCTGGAGAGAAGTCACTGAAGTGATTCTTGTAAAACCTAATAGAAAAACTTCAATTTCTAAGTCATATAGAGTAATATCTCTATTACACTGTCTAGAAAAGGTTTTGAAAAAGATAATAGCTACTCAACTATCTCTTATAAGCTCTATTAATAACTCTCTTTTATTCAGTGAACAAATGAGAGGTAGAAAACAATGTTCTGCAATTGACACTGTTCTCTCAGTTGTTCATGATATTCAAATAGCAAAGCATGAAGATCTGGTCTCAACTGCAGTTTTTATTAATATAAAAGAAGCATTTGATCATATTTCAAAGTCAAAGTTAATTCAGACTTTGAAGATGTTAAAACTGCCACTTTCTCTAATAAAATGAGTTGACTGTTTTATATCTAAAAGAATCATACAACTTTTCTTTGATGAAATGAAATAAGACAACACTGAGATAAAAATAGAAGTGTTACAAGAATCTTCAATCTTACTCATTTTATTTACAATATACACTGCATATCTATTCAAAGATAGAAATATAAAAATAGTGTGATCTCTGTGTTATATAGATGATATTGATCTAGTCTACAGCTCAAAAACTATCAAAGAGAATTTAAAAGTGATTGAAAAAGCTGCAAAGAAAATCTTTGTTAGAGCAGATATCAATTAAATTCAATTTCATATGAATAAAACTGAGTTAATTCATTTCTTTTCTAGATTCAATGAGAAAGAACTATCTCTAACTCTTTTAAATAGAGAGATTAAACCCAGTAAAAATGTCAAATGATTAGAAGTATGATTAAACTCTAAGTTGAATTTTAAATATCATATTCAACAAAGAACTGTCAAGGCAGAAAGACTATTGAACAACATTATCAGACTATTAAATACAGAGAGAGGTCTATTCTTCCAGAGTATGAGACAGTTATATATAGTCTGTATTATCTCAGTAGCTGATTATGAAGTTCAAGTTTGATGAAATAATCAAGAAAATTTCACTGAACTCTTTCAAAGTCTGTAAAACAGAGCTTTGAGAAGAATTCTGAAAGCATTCAAATCATCTTCTATTAAAACAATGAAAATTGAAGCTTCAATTCTCTCTTCTATAATTAGATTTGAAAAGATCTGTATGAACTATACTCTGAGAGTTATAAAGATGAGCTTAAATTATATAATCAGAGAAAGAGTCTCTTCTTCATTTTCATCAATTAACTCTGGAAATGAACTGAATTGAAATAGATTTCTTGATTGAAATGAAAATAATTCTTCAAAGAAAATGTCTTCTCAACTGTACAGACTATGCTCACTGATTAAAAATCAATTTTCTTCTTTAAATATTGAAAAAGTTGATCATGAGAAGTTATCTCTCTGAAGAGAAAAGTTTGAATCTCTTATAAACTTACAAATAAGTGAACTATCTAAAGAGAAAGACTATGAACAACATTTGAAGAGAATTTCTACAATTAATATAAAAGACTCTATTCTGATTTATTCAGATAACTCAAAAAATGAGAATTTGAATAGATTAGATGCAGGCATTGCTTATACTGAAAATAATATTAATTTTATCTCAGATTTCTGGAATTTAGGCTGTGAATCTGAAGTCTTTGACACTGAACTATTTACAATAGTGAAAGCTTTCAAACTTATTAAAATAAAATCTTATAAAAGAGAAAATAGTTTGAAAGACACATGAATATTCTCTGATAGTCAAGCTGCTTTAAAAAGACTTAGAAATAGTCAGATTTATAATGATCAAATGAATCTTGAACTGATCTTAAACTTCATTTTAAAAATTCAAAAGAAAAGAATATCAAAGCTAATAATTCATCTGCACTGAGTTCCTGCTCATATGAATATTCATGGCAATGAATTGACTGATTCAGCTGTAAAAAAAGGTTCAGAATTAAGCAGATCTATTCAAAAAATTGTATCCTGGTCTTTTATAAAGAGAAAAATAAAAGAATCTTATTTAGACAAGTGAAATGAAAGCTGGCAGAAATAAAAGAAGA